CAGATTTAATTGGAGTTCCCTGAGCAGCCCAAGTCCACTCTGGAAATCAACTCTTTGGTGTTCCTAGTTGTCCCTCACTTTTAAGCCTACTTTTTTTATCTATACCTATAAGGACCTTAATTGTCAGTTCTATAGGAGCTTGGTTTCCATAAGTGAAAACCAGCTTTTCTAGTTAACCTAGTATCTTATAAGGTACCCAAGCAATTTGTTTGATAATAAAAAGGTTACAAAAATAAGAATACGAACCCAAACTTCATGTCTTCATCAGTACTTTTCATAACATTTTCCTTTCTGAAGCTGTGAATAAGAAAGGGAAAGTAATCCTTTTAGCCAAGACCACATTCACTAAAGCTGTTTCAGAAAAGGGAACTCCTCACTCCTAATCTCTGTAGCATTTCTGAGGATAACATCCCGTAAAGCATAAAAATCTTTCACTCCATATTGAGCTCCATGGGGAATGAGTGATGTGAGGCAGATTTTACCAGAAGAAGACTATTTACCCAAAATACTAATTTGAACACTTCTAGCTAATTCAGTAGTCATAGGGAAGACATCTGGTGTTTCATTGCTTGCTGTACTCAGCTTAGAATCTATTGTTTCCAGCTTGCCCAATTAGTACAAATTTATTAGTCCTAAGTAATTGATAATCTGTGAAGTGAAGAAAGAGGGAATAATCATCCAGCACATCAACACCACTGTGATATTTTGGTGTTATATGTAGTTGTAGTATATATGTAATTTTAAAAATGAGTTTAAACTTGGATATAAATTAGATATATCCTTCCTGTCTGTTTTGTGATACATATTAAATGTTCAAATATTTGAAATGATAGGTTGGAATTCCTTTACCCTGCTTTTAAACAATTGAATGGATGTCTCAGGATAGGAAATCCATCCAAACTTCCTCATCTGCTGGTAGGAATAAATTGATGCTATCAGAAACCAATCAGGCAATCAGGCAGCTTGAGTCTGTCTGCCACTTCGCCTCCAGATAACCAAAATAAAATGAGATGGATCACTTACTAACTGCTGCAGGATCATTCAGGTGAGCAAATACATTTTAGCTTAAATAAGCAAGTGCTGCATGGATAGATCTTCACTTTAAAGTGTGTTACAATTCTGTGCAATGTACCTTGAATTTAAATGAGCATCATCAGGAATATTCCTTCTGCTATTTAAACTCTAGAGAACACTTCTATGATAGTTGGTAATGAAAAGGAAGGTGTTCATGTGCAAGCAAAGCAAACAACATCATGTTATTAAGAAGTGAAATTTAGGAAAGACTACAATAGGTTAGTTAACACTGTTTATTCTGTGATTTTTCTGGAGGAAAAATAGGACATCTAGAAATAAATGCTGTAGGAATGTTTAAACTTTTATTCATTACATTTGTTTCACCTTGTTTGATTAAAAAAAAAAAAAAAGGAGGAAAAACCTCAAACTCCCTCTGTATTTTGCCCACTTTTGGTCCAGTCAGAGAATTTTACTGGCAAGGAAGACAGCTTTGCTGCCTTTCTCAGTATTGTGAAGTATTTTTCAGAGGAATCATCCTTGTTTCCAAACACAAGCAACTATTTTACCTGTCCTATTTGTGCTAAGGATGGTGGCAACCAACTTTAGACAGACTTTTCCTTTTTCTGAGTCACCTACTCTCTCCTTACTTCCTTTTCCTCAGGATGGGAAAAGTAGACTGTGAAGCTAGTAAGTAAGCTAGCAGTAAGCTAGGTAGGAACACTTTTTGCTTAAATGGAAATGTGTATAATTAGTAAATTAGCTATTTTTTACAGAATATTTCCATCAAGCATTACATTGTTTGGAGATAGTGTTATCCAACACCTTTCTGATGTGTTTCTCAAAATGACTGTAAACCTCTGATTTTTTCCTGCCCACATTTATGTGGAAGCAAGAGGTCACTGGTATCACAGATGTGGTCTCCAGCACATTCCAGAGTACACTGGGAGCTGCTGAATTAAACAGGACTTTCCAGGTGGTTGTCACTGGCCAAGGCTTATCTAGTTCAAAAGTGACTGGAACAAATTAATGGCTATTTGAATATAATTTGAATAATGCTAAAGAATTTTGCTTGCTTGTTTGTTTGTTTTATGGCAGAATACATTTTAAAATAAATCTTAAAACCAAGGGAAATGGTAGGAGTTTTTTTGGTGTTTTGGACCAGAGTCACCTGCGGGAAGTGTGTCACTGGGGCACACCAAAGACCCAGACATTCTGTGAAGAATAAGCCATGAAGTGGACATCAACCCTTTCCTGATCTCTAGGAGATATCCAGGTGTGAGGAGCAGTGTTACCTCACGTGTACCTGGTAGCCCCACCATTTAATAGTCAGGAGAGTTTGAAAAGGGGTTTTCTCATTTTTGTAATCACTGGAATGTTATTTGACTGTTAGATTTTAGCAACATTTCAGGTTCCAGACAGCAAAGCTGATGAGAAAGTGCAGTAGAAGAGCCAAGTGGAGGCAGAGTGTGCTGGATGTTTGTGCTGTAGCTGTGGTGAATACCACAAGCAGAGCTTTACCCTTTAGTGTCACCCAGGCAGAAGGCAGCAGCAAGGCTGAGAATCTGTGAGAACCTAACACTGTCCTTGTTCCTAGTCACCTGAACAAGGTTTCAGCCCTGAAACCACAGTATTAACAGACACTGCTGCTGATACACTTTTGACTAAACATAAAGGAGAAAACCAGAAGTTTCCTGTTCTTTATTCTTTCTTGGTACATTTGGAAACTCTGAGTCTCAGCTAGACAAAGGAAAAACCTTCAAGTTTTACAGCTAATTCTGATCTTTGGCCAAAGCAGGTAATATGTTTCATGAGAAAGCTTAAGGTAAAGCAGGTTCCAAGGCACGTCAGGCTATTTATTGCAGACATATTTTAAGTTTTCTTAACAACTTCCATGTTGAATTAGAAAAAGGTCATAGACATGTTTGTTTAATCCCCTTTACCAAACATAAAAATTTATTAAAACATGATTTTGAAAGATTTACTTGTCTAAGGAATAACAAAAACTTGTAAGCAGGAAATCTTGTCCTTCCTCTGTGGCCTTCCTCCTTGCTCCTTCTGCCATGTCAGTAGCCAAGCATTCCTTACACCTAATTTTCTCCAGGTAACCTAAGTTCCTCTTTTTACTTTCTCTGTCAGTGACCTAGAGCACTAGGATAACTTCAACTGTGTTGCAGTTTAAAGCAAACTGCTTTTCAATCCCTTTTGAAGCTCTGATTTTTCTTTCTAGGGGAAATAAGGATGATACAAGAGCTTCAAAGAAGATTCTCAGCCAATGAACTGTCTCTGAGATAATTTTAAAGCTGCATATGAAAAACACTAAGGATTATTCTCCAATAAGAAAGCAAACAAACCAGAAGCAAAGAGCTGGAAACATAATAACACTAGGACAAAAAGAAGGCTTGCACACTTAAGAGTTAAATATGTACAACCTCTCTCTTGCATGCAATGCTAGTTAATACTAAATTCTTCTTTCTTGTATTTCCTCAGAAAGAGGACATTTCCTATTAATAGTACAAAAGAAACATAATGCTGCAAGCATAGTATTATCAAATTAGCTTAATAGCAGCCTTCTGCACTTTCCTTTTAGATATTTTATCAGGTTATGTTGATAAGTATCTGAATGCACCTATGTTGCAATAGTATTAAAGGAGATATTTTCAAGGTATTTTGCATTTTGTGGAATACAAACCACTAAAACTAATCATTGTCATTAACATCACTAGACATGATGCCATCTCCAAGATGGAATCACACCCCTGATTTACAAAGTGCATGTGATGAGAATTTATTTCAACAATGCATCAGTTGCCATTATGTGTGGTTGAGGTAATTTAAGTTTTCCATTGTGAGAAATGTACAATGATGCCCGAATTGTGGAGGTTGTTGCTTATGTAGGAATTCTGATGGTTGCCTCTGCTGATATATAACAAACTTATTTCTTACATAAAAGAAGTGGTATTTATTTTTCTGAATCTTACTTTAGTTATTGCAGTGGCTTCTGATTTTTGTGTAAAAGTATGTGCTTTCTTTGGAAAGAAAATTGTAAAAATGCAAATGGAAGGAAAGAGAAGAATATATATGCTTGCATGTGCATGAAATTTGTATTTCATTTAACTAGAAAGTCACTGTAAAATCTTTACAAAACATGAAATCAGCTAACCTGAAATTATATATATTAAAGAATTATGCATATTAAATAAAACCCACTGGTTTACTGGGTGGTAAACACATCAGTATAAGGCAAGTACAGTCCTATGTAACATGGCTTTAATATTGAAGGGAAACAATTTTCTTCTAATTTCCATTCCCACGTGAGCCCACAGTGTGCATTCTTCATCTCCTGTTTTGGAAGGCATGGTTGTAATCATGGGTCTTTTCTTAAAATCTGAAAGTGAGGACTTTCAGATTTGCCAGTTTAGCATTTAAGGCACTGCTATGCCTTCAGATTCCAGGGAAATAGAAGCTGTAGATAATGAAGGGCTTTAGATAACAAAGTAGACATCAGGTCTAGCCTGATTTCTTACTTTTAATTTATTTGCTGTCATACTCTAAGTATCTTTCAAAGACCTTTTCAGAACTATCACACTCTGGCTTCTTTTCCTGTTCTGTAGGACTATGTAATTCCTTGTTTCCTGTTACTTCCTAGCATATCATCCCAGACACACAGGCAACACGATGGACTCTTGAATCAGCTCTACTCAGCCTGTTCCATTGCAGAAAAAAAAGTATCTTTATGTGTGTAAATGTAAGAGAAGAATATATAAATTTACACCTGCGTGAAATTTGTATTTCGTTTAACAATAAGAAACAGAAAAAAAAGGCAAGAAAAGAAGCATTAACCAATGTTTTTAAAAAGATGATTTTAGTATAGTTCTGAAAGGTTAGCATGACTATGCTAGAGAAATTGTGTTACTCACCTAGAGAAATTTCAAGGAACTTTCTTTTGTGTAAACTATTTTTGGATACACATAAACTAGCAGCTGCAACTATATAATTCATATTTATCTCCCTCTTTCATAGATATGTACATTGTTTTATATATATGTGTGTATATATAAATATATGTATGTTCTTCTTCAACATTAAACTAAAATCCATTGTATCATTCTTTATAGGACACTTGATTCTTGTTTAAAAATTCAGGTGACATATTAAAGTATATTATAATTGACCTGAAAATGATATTAGGTCTTTTCTGCCAAAGTGAAGAACAGAGGAGTTTAGAACCAAATTCAGAACATCAATTTTAGATATACTTATCTGGTGATAAGATGTCCTGAAAGCTGAGCCTTAGCAAGGCACATCTAACTTGGCTGAATATACAGTCAAAAGGGAGAGTAAAATTTAAAAAGAACTCAAACTAATATAGGGAGATGCCTGGAACTAACCCATAGGTAACACTGACAACATCTGAAGATCTCTTAGTGTCTTAGAACATGGAAGTGTTTCACAAAACCTGTATAGTTCTTAATTACCACTTAAAATGGATTAGGTAATGGAAAATATTGGAATTTTATTCCTGGATGTTTTGTCTGTGTGGCAACACCTCTGCTATTCATGTTGGTCTCATCATTGCTGCTACTTTGCAAATACTTTTTCTTGAGTAAAGAGTAAATAATTGAAGTGCAAGACAGTTGTTGAGTAATTTCTTTATGTGGAACAGATGATTTGCCTGTACTTCAAAAAATTTATTTGTAAGACCATAAATACATAATTAAAAATGCTTATAATTAAAAACCAGTAACAGTGAAAAGGTTAACCTTCAGTAAAGAACTTTTAAGATTTGTGGGTCTTTTGACTAAACAACTGAGAAATGGAGGAATAAAACAACAATTTCTGACCTTACTTTGTCTTTTTGTCTCCCACAAGTGAAAAATAGAGACAATACATGTACATGTATCTTACGCCACTTACACTCTTTCTGTGCTTCCTAGATGACAAACGCAGATATTGAAACAGCAAATGTGTTGTGTAGGAAGATTTTATGAAGAAGTCCCATTAATCATAGCCCATGGCCTGGTGGGGTGGCCAGCAATGCTTCAAGTGAAGAACTGCTACAGTGGTGCAGTGTAAAAAATACCATCCGAGATTTCTGAGTTTTCCCTCCATTGGACAGGAGGTCTGTCCTGATACCTGGGGAATTCAGTTGACCCAAAGTAGACATCTACATCATACAAACCTGTAGATACAAGCTACCTAGACTCCCTTTAGTGACAATGGAACAGAGAAAGCATTCCTAGGTGTGATTCATCTAAACAGACAACAGTAAGAAATCAGGTGAATGGTGACTTAAATGGCACCAAAAATGCACATTGGAAATATTAGTGTTTCATTTGTTAACCACATTTCAGAGAAAGAAGCAATGGAGAAAGCAATAGAGCAACTGTTAAAATGCCACTTCCACCAACACAATGCATTTGATCAACGAACACCTGGAAAGCATGGAGTTTATTAAAATGTTGAGCAATGCCTTGTGACTCTTTAAATCATGGCTACCTCAGGCAGTGCTGCCATCTGAGATTAGTTAGTGAATTGGATGGCCACCTGATCATTTATTTGGCTTCAGCAACAGTTCTGTGCAATGGTAAAAGGCAATTAGATCTGTATTAATTATTTTTTAAATTAAACAGTCATTCTTTATTAGCAGTTTGTGGCATCATGAAGAATCTGTATTGAACAGAGGCATTGTATTGACTGAAGAAGGAAACTAGAAAAATCCATAATAGTAATCAGTGTAGAATTTTGATCTGTTAATAACTGGGGTCTTTGGATTGATTCAGGCCTTTCTTCCTCATGAAATTGTATGAAGTATTGAAAATCATCAGACAATACAGAAAGTAATAACATTTCTCTACGTGTAAAAGTAAAGAGACGAAAATCTATTTCTAGTTACCATGAAAAAGTGCCTGCTTTTCTCAGGACCTATAATGATGAAAAACAGGGACAGTACATTTTATACACACTTTATGCAACTTTCACTATTTTTGTGTTTTCCAGGGTATGAACAGGGTCAAAGACAAAGGTAGTGACAGAAGAACAGGAAATTTCCTGACTTCCAGCACCAAGTCTATCCCTCCACAGTTTTCCCATTACTTGTGGGAACTGTGGAGTAAACGTCTTTCCAGACAGAGGCTAAGAAGAAGATAGAGGTTACTGATGAAAAAGACTTCAAATATTGCAGGATTTGGAAATGTTTTTTATTGTTAGTATATAAAACTAGTCTCAAATTAGCTTTGAGTATTATTAGAGTGCCTGTTTATGAAAGCCATCCTTCTAAAACAGTTTCCTTTATTTCTCCCACTCTAGGCAATTTTGCAGTAGAGTCTCTAATTTCAGAATTACTACTGGATAAAACATGAGAATAAGGTGACACTGGGAATCCTAAGCAAAGTGCCTGTAGCTTGTGTTTCAACACTATGTAAAATTAATAGGAATCTTCCCCACAGCAGATAACATATTCAAACACTTGCGTGTGCTGCTCTGTGGTTGTTGTGCAGATGCTTCTGTAGCCTTCATGCGGGCTGGAAGCAGCTGATGGAAATGAATTGTCCTTATCTGGTATTCCAAGACCCTTGACTGGACTTTCTGTAAGCAACCAGTGTCTTGATGGCATGGAAAGGAAACCTTGCACACAAAGGTTTTTGGACTGACCCCCGTGTTATGCTGTCTTTCCTTTGTTCTTCTCTTCAGCTATGCTAGTCACTTATTTTCTCGGGTTGGTTTCACTCTTAAAACCTTGGGATCCAAAGAAACTCATTAGATAACTTAATGAGTTTTGTAGGCTGACATTTAGAGAGGGTGATCAGGCCTTCAGAAAGACTGAGGTTGTTCTGAGAGTGTTTTACAATTTAATGAGATATTGCCAATTCAGATGATTAAACAGAAAAAGATATCAGAATTTCTTGGAAAGTCCAGTTGTTTCTGTGATATGCTGCAAGCTGTATCTCAGTGTCACTAAGCTGTTGTTACATGCTTAAGTCTATCGATGAAGAATTTGAGCATATATGAGAAACTGCAGTGATGACTTATAGGGGACATATAACAAATTTGGTTGGGTGGAAACATTTATCTCTCAAGTAAAAGAGGAGCTAAGAAATGTAGGAGAATATATATATCTCCATCTCCATACAATGGCTATTTTCCACAGAGCTGTATATTTCAGATGGTTATCCCGATTTGGCTGTGATAGCACATACACCCAGGAAGAAATGCAGGTATTTTGGGTCTGATCCTGGAAGGCTGCTGCATAATAATCACAGAATCACAGACTTGGAAGAGACCCACAAGAATCATCAAAGTCCAGCTCCTGGCCTGGCACAGGACAGCCTCAAGAATCATACCAGTATGCTTATGGTGTAGTTTATTGTACATTTGTATCATATATATGACATTCTCTGCTTTTTGCAGATGATTTAAAAATGCTCTTCCTCCAGAAGGACCTTTGATGCAGGACAGGAACTAAGCTGCACTGAGCCATCCAGCCAGTGGGCTTAATGGGGCAAGGTGCTACTGTGAGCCTCTCTCTCTCTTTTTCATGCTCTGAACATTAAGGAGTCACAGGGTGCTATGTCCCAGCAAAACCACCTGAGTACTCATTTAGTTGCTCAGGGACAGTCCCAGAGTGACATCGAAATATCCAAGTGATTACAGAAATTGATGAGAAATCAAAGTTGCATATGGTTGCTCTAAGGTTTACCTAAGATTTTTGTTGGATTACAAGGTGACCCAACATAATTCAAAAGTTTCTTTCTGAAAATACTTACAATTTGATTGTGATTAATGTTCTTCATAAGACACCCAGAACTACAAGTTCCTCTATAAGAAAAAAATTCTCTGGAGGTATGCTGTACCAATGGGCATAAAACAAGAGCAAGAAACTGTATTTTGTCTGACGTTGCAGATTAACTCACTGTTGATGCAGCAACACAGGTCTCTTCATCAGTTTCACAGAGAATGAGGAGTACTCCCAGAGGAGAAAAAAATTAAGATAAACTGCCTTCCAGTCTCATTTGCAGCTTCATTAGTAACCGAATTTCTCTTGTTAAAATGTATTTGCTTAGAGGAATTACAAATAAAATGAAAGCCTCAAAGAAGTAGAGGGTATGTTTCGCAGGAGTTGTTGATAACTCTGAGATACTTTTTTCAAAAGATGAAAGATAATTTTATATTAGAAAAACAGGAACAGCATCTGATTACATCTTCTGAGCCTTAATAGGAAGGTCTTGGCTTAGAATTTTAGAATTGTATTACAGGATCTATCACACTTCTGTTCTGTACAAAAAAGAGAAACAAAAAACCCCAAAACAACAACAACAAAAAACCCACAACCAGCCCCAAAACTCAAAATTATTTTCCTTGTGTTTTCATAGAAAAGAACGAGTTACTGATTTCTGGAGCTCATAAGAAGATCTAACAGATCACTGTGAGACTTAGAAAGTATAAGCTTTACAAATTCCTTCTTGAGAAAAGCAGATTAGACTGAAAAAAAAAATGGAGCCAAAGAGTGCCGTTGCCTGAGGTTGCAGCAATACAGAGTAGGTTTTTGCAGTGTAGCTGTGCAGAATAGGTGAAATATAGCTTACAAAATAGAACATTATTTCCTTTACATTATTCCTAATCTACTCATGTCCTGTCTATATAGCTGGTAAACTTACTACTGCAGATGTAGGTAGTAAGGTTCAGGTTCATATACGTTAGTTCAAGAAACTGAAAATAACAAAAGGGTCCTGAAAAAAAAGCCCTTACAATGTGCTCTTTGACTGCAGATATTTCATCCTTAGCCATCAGATTTTAAATGATGGATAGTCCACCAAATATTAACGTCACTAACAGGTGTGTTTCATTTTCCAAATAATTAAAAAACATATTCTTTTCACCTCATGAGCCCTGTTCTGAAGCTCTGCAACACCAGTAATGGCCTTACATATGAAGATATTCAGGCCCACAATACATTCACAAATATAATGCCACATCAGTTTGCATTGTCTGCTGTAATCATACTTAAAAATGACCATAGATCTAGAGCCAAATTGCAACATTCATGTGGAATAAGGGAATCCCAATACTCAACATATTTGCTTGCAATTTAGAAAACGATCATTATTCACAGGGAGCAATTCAGACTTTGTTCCTGTTTCATTAGTTGGAAGAAAATAATTTTTCAATTACTCATTACCTAGAGAGTTTTCAAAAACATAAGTCAATAAACCTTGCTTTCCAAAGATGCAAACCTTAGATAGCTTTCTCGTTCTCTCAGCTCAAATTGCTCCTGTAATATCTACAGGTACATGAAAGGATTTACTGAATGCATGCATACTTTGGAAACACTGGTGTTAAAATAATAGGTTTTTCATTGGAGTGTGCATTCTTATAAGCATTTTTAGCTGGAAAGGAGTTAGCAAGTATGGGCTTACTTAAGTACAATTGAAACATGGTGGCAAATGTGGGCAATAGATGACTACAGAGCCTAGTTTCTAAAAATCCACTCTATTTACTTACAGTGGATTTTTAGAAGGTAGGCTTTGTAGATTCATTATTCTTGTCTGCAATTTATTTGTTCATTTTTTAAGTTAAGCTAATTATGAACATTTTATGCTAGCATTTTCTGAAAATTTACATGAGGATTGATTTCTATCAATTAAGTACCAGCACATACAAGAATACATGAGGTATTCCTCTTGTCTGTATTCTTTTTTCCATGATTTACAACAGAATAATGTTCCACACTGACAAACAGGCTACCTCATTGAAGTTTCAGTCTGAAAGCAATATAGTCCATGCAAAGTTGTTGCTTGGTCACTTAACATAATGCCTATGTAATTTTATATTTTAATGATTTTTCAAAAGTTACTCAGAAAATTGCCAAACAAAGATTTCTTGCACAGATTCTCACAATACTCTCAAATTAATGATTTTCTAAGTAATTTAAGTAAGGTCACTGGAATTAAAAAGAAGTGTGTGGACCAGTTTACAGGTCCAGATTCAGCTGCTGACTTCAGGGACCTAACCTGGGACACAGCACCTTGAACCCACTTTCTGGCCTCTGCAGGTTGCTTCAAAGCAGCATTGGAGCCTCTAGGGCCAGAGAAGGGAGCCAGATGCCTGTGGGCTTCATCGGTGCTCAACACACAGCTGCCTACAGCAGCTACTCACCACAGAGCCTACATTTGTAAACTTTAACTATTCTGTTGTTGGAACCTTTGACAAAATTTATAGCGACAACTAATTACCACATAAGTGATTTCTAGGATGGAATTCTTTCCTGTCTACTTCCTCTGATTGTGGGGCTTCATCATCTCTCCTTTCTGAGTAGGCACATGATGCTTTGCTACTGCTACAAGTTTACATATGCTCTTTCTAAGCTACAGCCTTTGATAAATGATCCAGTATCAGCCTCTAGCCATGGGTCAAGACCCAGGCACATGTATCCCACAGAACAGTGTTTCGCAAAGTGTACTGACTAACGAGGAGCGTGGTAAGTGCCGCAGCACCACACACACTTTATCAGCTCCCCTTGCAGTTCACTCCTCTTCAGAACACAGGCTCCCTGCACAGCTAACCAGGCAGAGCCCATCATCCCACAGCAACCCTTCTTCATGTCGGCTTTGTGTGAACTGCAGTGCTGTTTTGACCCTAAAAGGGAAATGTATTAAATGCTTTGTGGTTTAGGTTTTTTTGGTTGTGGTTTTGTTTGTTTGTTTGTTTGTTTTGATTTCTGCTTCAACAGGAGTGTGTTTTTCCTGTGCTTTAAGATTTTGCTCAGAAATTGAGAATTCAGAATACAAAATGAAGTCAAACATCCCTGCCTGGTCTTACTGACTTTTATTGAGACCGCAGATAAAAGCAGCATGACATCAAGAAATGAGAGATTGGGTTGTGCCTAAAAATCAGTGTTTTCAGGCTATGTCATTGAAATTTCAGTCTGAAGACAATACAGTCCATGCCAAGTTGTTGCTTGATCACTTAACATAGTACCTATATAATTTTAAATTTCAACGATTTTTCAAAGTTACTTGGAAAATTGCCAAACATAAAGATGTAAAGACATAAAAGACAGTTATGAAGAATTAAATTGCATGTTGACCAATGTCAAATATCACACAAGAGGTAAGTTTTCTGTCAGAGAATAAACATGATTTAAAATTAGTTTTTTACTGAAAATATTCAATTAGATGGCATTTGAAGTCTTCAGAATATTTTTGTTTCAATCCTTTTCCTTCCGACCAAAGGCTTTATCCATGCTCTCAGCGAACTTGATGTATGATTCGAAGAATAGTACCACTTTTCTAGGAATGAAACTGATGAGACAAACACCAAATTAGGTTTGTTTTTTGTTTGTTTTTTTCTTTTTTTTTTAGAAAAATGTACTCTATAAATAAAGAAATCATAAATCCATTATATTTGCTCAATAATTCTAATGTCTGGCAATAAGTCATTTGGTGTTTCCCCTGTGTTATAAGTGGGGGAAACAAATGACAGACCAAGCCATTTTGTGAAAGCCCAGACAGCAGTGAAGGCAGTGGCTGGAAGCAGACATTTCTATCCCAGGCATTACTCCCAGTGTACCATCTCGTGAAAATTCTCGAAATTTCTATACCCAACTGTAAATTAAGACATATATTAGAGACAGAAGGGGCCAGAGCAATGCTATTTACCTAGACTATTAAAAAATTAAAACCACTATTTCTTCAAAGCTGGGTACCTATAACTGGATTGAATGCAGGAATATTAACTAAAGGACTGCTTTTACTAAACATTTCTGCTGATTTTACAGTCATGTGGTAGAGGAAAGAAGGTAATGCTAGAAGACAAGTCACATGCTTACGTTTTCAAACCAAATAAGCGTACAGTTGGAGGCATGATTAGATAAAACTTTTCCTTTTTAACTGCATTCAAGATCTTGCTGGCTACATACTCTGCATCATAAACAGGAAGCAAAAAAGGTTTTCTGTGAAACAAGAAAAAGGTGTTACGGAATTATAAAACTTTGCTTTTGAGATGATTCTACCACATATGTAATAGGCTAATTTATGAATTTTCCCCCTTCCTCTCAAGTAGTCTTGAAAAGGAACCTCCAAACCTCTTTGTTCCTGCTATCATCAGAATAAATTGAAAACACTTTGAATTTTAATGAATTTTAATGAAGTTAATGCCCACCGTGATTGCAGCATTTGAAAACTTCCAAGCTTAGCCATACTATATTCTCTTCTGTGCATAAAGTTCTGCCTTCTGCGCACCTCCTCCTTTTGTGCTGTAGGTGCTGAGGTGACAGCTAAGTAGATCAGAACCAGGTCTGTCTCCAGCCTGGAGACAGGCTGTGCTCTGCATGACGTATGCTACTGCAGAATGATCAATGGTGGAAGCAGGAGCAGAGCACTGAAAAACCAAGGTCACTGGCACTGTGTTACTACAATGGCTAATTCAGTGCTTGCAGCCTCTCCAATCACTGCACCCGTAGTCACCCACCAGATACCACAGTTATTCCATCTCAGAGAAGCACAGTACCTGCTAATACAGATCATGGGGCACGGTTAATAACGACAGGTCATGGGTATCCTGACAGCCATAACTGTAATCACACTGCCAAAATTACTTGGGGCAGAGAACATCAGCAGGGTCCCTTCTACTGACAAATAAGGCTCCCTTTAACCCTTAAATACTGCTGTGCATCACAAACCTTTCCTTGTCTGTGAGGTTATTACACAGTCCTTGTTGCACCTGTCAATTATTAACTGTATGCAAGATTTGCATTTCTTTAGATCAAAAGACATAGTTTTATGTGCCAATAGGGCAAAAATACTGAATTGAAAATCAAATCAACCATCTAGAATATGGTATATCTTGTGAGTAGTGATTATTTTTTACATACGAAATAGTACACAATCTGTTTTACTTACGCGCTTTGGAAACCTTTACTTAATTTAGTCTTAACAAAATAAGGGCAAATGATTGTGGTTTTAATGCCATGTTTTCCTGCATGATACAGTTCTGAATTTATGGCTTCCATCATTCCAACGACAGCATACTTGCTTGCAGTATAATCTGAAAAGTGAAGAAAGAAGAAATATTCAAAATCTCAAAAGCACCACAGTAAATGCTATATACAGAATCTAATTTCTTGTAATAATATTTAATCCATTATATTATTTAGTTCTATAATTAGCAACCTTGTAATTAGTATTTTAAGCATATTGGTGATGCTAACTCTGAAGGTTAATGATTCTTCCCATGGTTGATACACAGTCATCTAAGGATAAGATTAATCCTTTCCAAAGCAGTTTTTTTCAGTGCACCATAGAGTGATATAGGAAGATGAGCTTATTCAATATTTTATGTACATTTCCAGATAGTCATATACAAACCAGACATTCTTTCAGTTCAAATGTCTTCACCCTTCAAAATCACAGGTTGCATTTCAGAAAAAACTGTTTCTAGTGGTAAAATATGGATACCCTACTTACAAATGCTGCTTTAGCCTATTTCTTCTGATTTACCCTGCAACTTTTTGTTTTGTTTTCCCAGGAAGACTGAATCTGATCAGAATTTTATTTTTGATGAATGCATGAAACTCCATCCTTGGAGATAATCAAAACTTGCCCTCACACAGCCCTGTGCAATCTGATCTAAGTTGAGCCTGCTTTTATTTGGGTATGTGGATCAAATGACCTTTAGAGATTTCTTCCAACCAAATTATTACACAACTTTACAACTGGAGGAAACTGCTTTAATATAGTGATTTACATGTGGTTTCCTAAAGTTTTTTCAAATGTTTGTGAAAATAGCTATTAGATATAATGAAATCCAATTTTGCTAAAAGAGTGATTCAAAGACTGGTATCAGAGATAGTTTGCTATTCTTCAGGAATTCACCCACAGTGAATGATGGAACCATACAGCCTAAAAATAAATAGTTAAGATGTAAAAGGTTTAAAACATGGATGGACAGATCCACCCCCGTAATTCTTACAGTTATATGATGAAACCTGAATGTAACCTATATTATCAATACCAAACATGACCCAGTGATAACAGAAGGCAAATGAACGCTACAGTAACACATCAATCAGCAGAAGAAACAAGAGATACTTATTACACTGAAGTTCACGTTCTTATAGGGCATCCTCAGAGATACAACCAAAATGTAAGACAGGCTTGAGGAAAGACTGGGTAGCAGACTCAGACTGATGAAATAGACAGGACTATAGCAGACTGCTCTCCTGAGGGAAACAGCTGAGAATATTGAGCTTTTAAATAGCTTAAAACTTTATTCAAATTAATTTTATTGAAAATTCTGCCAAAACACCTTCTGGACCTGAAAATCATTTCCCAGCTAAATATATAGTTCCAGATATAACCCATGTCTCAGGACTCTGAAGAAGACCTGGCGTGAGAAAGAGTTAAGACAACTTGTATGCAGAACTTCTTCCCACTGCACACACACAAGCTGTGATGTCCTTATTCTGTGGAGATAAGACAGTCTGTAATCAGACAGTAAAATCTGCAGTGAGCTCCCGGTGCCACTTGGGCAACGTGACACCGTCACACTCGTTGGGACACCATCACCTTTGGCATCCTCAGGTTCTTGTCAGTATAGGCTGCTTAAGCCGAGCCTTTATTAGGTTGCAGAGAAAAGTCATCAGTATGTAGATCCAATTTGTAATGGCAGCTGACAATACTAACCTGTCAGTCTGTAGAGTCCCAGTAATCCACTCGCACTGGCCATGCTAACCAGGTGCCCACGGTTACAGGCCATCATGGCTGGAAGAAAAGCCTTGCAAGTCTAAGAGAATATATATATATACATATTAAAAAAACCCTTTATAAATAGACATGCCAAAAGAGTTGCATTTCAAAAATAGGCTTTACTATCTGATCTGCTTTCTGGGGCTCCATTATACAAGAAGCCCAACTGATCTTTTATTTCTGTAACAATTTTTAAATGATAGACAACATTCCCTTGAATGACTGCCCTCTATCTGATGATCTAACAGCATTAAAATCGTCTTACTAAAAGTAGCAAAGTTTCTATTTTCTCTGTCTCCTGGTTCCTCACGATTTGAGTCTCTTTGAGACTACTGCCAAAGGTTTGGTACACAAGAGGGAGCTAGAAGTCAACACATCAAGGGAAGTTCAGCTGCCTGTGGGCCCTTTCTTTTGCAAACTGAACTGCCAGACAACTGCAGCACCCCGGACCACCACTGTGGGTGACAGTAACTAAGGAGAATGCTAGTGTTTTATGAAGGGTTAGATAAAAAAAAAAAAAAAAAAAAAGAGATGAGCAATGACAATTCTTGTTTCCATAGCTGAGATGTCCAACTTGACTCCAAATGTGAGTGCCTAGTATAACACTGTCCTCCTGCCCAGTGTTTCTTCAGACCTCTTGGGAGGACATATCTCAGTGCCTTTGCCTCAAGTATTTGGAAGAATGATGCAGTGTGGCTGAGGAATGCTTAGAGGACTCTTATCTGCAAGGATCTTCCGTTGAGAACTGCCTTTTAACAAGGGAGTTGCAATGCAATACTTGTTCCCTGATGCAACCTGTTGACTCAGGCATATAAACAAAAAATGCAAGAGGGGGCAAGAGTAATGCTCCCTCACAACAAAACCTACTAAAGGTCAACTGAGAGACCAAATAATAGCAAATTCCTTCAGAGGTAAGAAAATAAAGAATAATAGTTACTACCCAGATTACTTTTCTATGTACTTTAATCAGATGGTGACTAGGAATGAAAGCAGCCTGAAGATTGACACCAACATGTGCAGCAAAAAATGGTTGGAATAGAACGACTTAGGTTGGAAAAGACCTTTAAGATCACTGAGTCCAACTGTAAATCTAACACTACCAAGTTCACTACCAAGTCATGGTTGTGTCTCCCTGAATGCTACAAGACCCTTAGACAAACCCTTCCAGTGTCAGCAAACAGGGAATTCAGATGCCATCACACCGCAGCTGTTACGGGTATGTTTCACAGTACAATTGCAAAAACTTTTGATTTACCAAAGTGCTCAGGCAGGTTTGTGTTAATATTACTGAAACATAATGGGGAGACTGTCAATTTGGCAGGTTTCCAATTACAGGATGATTATGAAAACATCTTCTCCCCCAAGTCAAGGCCCTTCACATCCCTATTCCAAATTGGAGTTTTGAGGTAGACACCACGATGGTGATTTTCACATGAAAACACTTGACTCTACCTTTTGATTACCCAGAAAAAAATAAAAACCAACACAAAACTTTACCCAGACTTGAGAGAAGAAGTTGATTCTCAAGGTCTTTTCAAAATCTTCATCTGAAATGTCACAGAACTTCTTCCCAAGCGCTCTGCCAGCATTATTAATTAGAATAGTAACATCCCCAACTTCTTTTTTAACCTAAATAAAAAAAAATATAAACATTAAGTTTTAGAAGGTATCCTTGCCTCTTGTGTTTCATTTATGAAAATGTTTAGAGATATTTGCAGTAATTGATATGTCTTCTGAAAACATAAGTACTTAAGAACTGTTGTATTGCTTCAGATCAGAGGTCCATCTGAGCCTCCTAGCCCTTGTCTCATGGTGGAAAGCAATAAAAAAAGGACGAGGGCTCTAAGGTTTCCAGTGCACCTAACTTTTCACATGTTGCAACTTCGGAGCTTCCTGAGAGATATAAGGTATCAATATCTTTGTGTTTAGTATAACCCAGCGATTCTCCACCCCATCTCACTCCCTGAATTTGTCTAATTGCTCCCTGAACTCTGGAATACTTTTGGCTTCCACAGGAACATAAGGTAATAACTTACAAAGCTTTAGTGTGCACCACGAGTGTGCTTTAACTGCAATTGGAACATTTCTGGTTCCCTAGTTTTGGTATTGTGAGAAGCTGCATTCCTCAGACGAGCCTGTTCAACCCCTTTTCTATATAATTTCTACTGAACTGGAAAGAATTCAGCACAGATTCCTGGGGATACCAATCCTCTGAGTAAAAAAAGGACCTACCATGAAATAGATAGATAACATCACTTGGAAAGAAGGCCAAAATCACCATTAGCTCCATTGATTATAAAAAGATTTCAGTTTATTATAACAAGATTTTGTCCCAAGATTTGGATTTATATCAAAGCAGATGGCCAAGATTTATTCATAGTTTTAAGAACCAGTCTCACTGCAGAGATTCCTGTGCTAGAGGTGAGCGGTTATCCAGCATCTCAAAAATTATAGTGTGACTACAAAAGCATAAAAATCCCACCCATGCTGCTGTCTGGCAATTTGGGAACAGGTACTTCAGTCTGATACCCTAACATCTGACCTTCCTTTGGCTCTCTCAGGGAACCGTAGCGTTCAGTGAAGACTTGCCTGATACTCCTTCAGCTGTGTCAGGTTTAATCCTTGCCATAGAAAAACAGGGCTCAGATATTAGCACCATTCCACCTGCACAAACGAATGCAAATCTACACACTACTGAGTGTGGCAGGAATACTCAGTTCTTCCTTTGTGGGATGTATCTGTGCTTTCCTCCCTGCCGTGTCTTTCAGCTGCTGTGTCAGTCCATATGATGATCCTCTTTTTCTTCACTTGACAACGTAGTTTCACCAATGGCAGCATTTTATTTAACCTGGCTTCATTTGATCTGTTTACTCACTACTACAAAATACATGTGAAGCTTGGCTTCCATTTGCGAAAAGTCAAGCTGATTGTTCTACGGTATGAATTCTGTCAGGTGTCTATTAATTCCTCTCTTTTTTTCTGGTTTCCACCAATTTTTTCTAAGACAAGATCGTAGTTTGTGGCCTCTCAAGTGCACTTTAAAACAGGCATATTTGCTACTCTTTGTTTCTGATCACCTGTTATAGCAAAACACACCTCCCATATTTCCAGCTCAACCGATCCATATCTGATTTCCTTCAAAATTCCCAGGTGGACACTGCCTGATCCTGAAAATTAGTTGCTCTTCACTTCACCAGTTTATTTTAAAAACCTCTTCTTTAGGGACTTTGGTGGTCTGATTTGCTTCCTAGAAAGAAAGCTTTCATTATTGGAAAATACCTAGGTTTTTTTGCAGTGAGTATATCAAACATAAACAATTAATTTAACTTTTTTTGCTATTACTTTATCTTCTGTGTCCAAGCTCAAGACTTCTTATACTACCAATCAAAAAGCTGCAGGTATTTCCAAGAGTAGAGGAGGCCCCTAGATGAAAAAGTCTTGATCTAAGAAAATTTCTGGCTCCAGAAAGACATGACTGTTCAATACATGCAAATATCTATGAAGATGTTGATATTGTTAACAATGATTTAACACCTTAACAGGAATTTCTGAATTTTAAACAGCTCTTCAAGTTTCTGTTGGTAGGTCAGTCTGTGCCCTGCAGTACAGTGTTTGCTGATATGGGCCTGATATCAGCCCTTTGCTGATATCAGCCCTGAGGCTTATTCAGTTAATGTGTTTGGAGATTAAAAATTACTGGAGAGCACAAAACAAACCTTTTGAGACTGTGTTAAACTAAGAGTAAACAAAAAAATTAAAAATGTTCAGCATGGACAGTGAAGTCCAACAAAGAAATTATCTACATAAGCCTAAATTACTCATTTTGATGAATGTCTTTGCAAGAAGATAGCCTTTATGGGAACAGAACTTAACTTAATGCCAATTTAAAATGTTAACTTTTAAAGAGACTTGATCTTGGTAAATTCTAAGGTAAGTTTTTTTTTTTTTACTTGCAAAAAATACGATTTGAGAAGAACTGCTGTTTTTTTATAATATCATTTCAAATAAAGATCAAATGTCATATATGAAGTACTGACCACAAGTTGCTCAGACAGAGCTTTCGTCTTACTTGGAAGTGATAATAGATACTAAGATTGCTGAAATTACTGTGATTGCTACTCCAAAATTGTTGCAGTCATTATCAATGTCTCACACAGGTGTCAGGATCACATCATCTGTACTGACAAAGCCAAAGATAATCCTCCTCAAACACTGTGTGTTGTGTCAGCACAGGGTCAGCACTCAACAACTTGCTTATCTGTGCTTACATGCCATTATGATACAATAAATACACCACTGCCCCACTAATAGTATGGTACCACCTGTGGTTCTTTGTTGTCAAAGATGTGACCTGAGAGTCATGTGTCCAAGAACATACACTTGAACAGTGTATGTTCTTGTACACCAGGAGAAAAATTTATCCTTGGATAAAATGGTAGAGTGGATAACTGTATTATAAGTGAGGCTATACTGGGAAATATTTTCAGGCAGTTCAAAGACAAGTAAAAAGTAATAATGTCAATGTCCAATTTCTAGACTCTGACAATAATAAAAATAAATTTTAAAAAAAGGTTAAAAAACGTAGGTCAGCCCAGCAAAAGGGTTTAATTTGAAATGGAGTTCTTCTCTACCTTACTTCCCAGCTATATTGACCAAAAAATAAAGCAAAGCTGAATCATCATTTTGACTGACATTTCTGAAAACATTACACACAGCGTCACCCTTACAGAACTAGTTTTCTAAACAATTGGGCAAAGGAAAGAACTCCCCCCTTACAACATATACTGATTTTTTTCTTATTTTAAAAATTTTTTCTTGATGTCTTGAAGAAATTTCAAAGCCTTAACAAATACATGGAGATAACGTCTGCTGCATGTTTTACCGTACTCTTAATCTAAAAGAGGTTACCGTCTTACAATGAAGACTGAAAATGGACAAATCTCAACAGAACATCTTAAATCCAGTTACTTTATTGAGAACATAGTTTAAGTTCCATCTAGAAGTGAGTTGCTGAAAAGAGAAATCATTGCCCTACATGATTTCTTATCTGTAATGAACAGTAAGTTTCTAAACAGTAAGTTTAAGTTTAGAAACAGTAAGTTTTCTAAACAGTTTTCTAAACAGTAAGTTTCTGAACAGTAAGTTTCTAAAAAAAAAAAAAAAATCCATAGCATATACTATTAAAAAGAAGCAAGAAAAATCAGAAGAAGCCAAATCTTACCTTGTCTGCCTTTTCATAGATATCCTCCCTACTGCTGCAGTCACAGTGGTAGACAAACACCCGGTTAGCTCCATTTTCTTGGGCTAGTCTGCATGTTTCTTTGTTGCCTTCATCATCGATGTCCCAAAGAACCAAAGTTACTCCCAAAGGAGCAAATTTTAAGGCAATCTGCCTTCCAATCCCATTTGCAGAGCCAGTAATAAGAACTATTTCAGCAGCAAAATATTTTTTGTGTAGAGGACATATACAGAAGAGATTCTCAATAAATAAATAAATGAAAAATTTCAGGTACTGTAGTAACTTCTTGATGCATCTGAAGTTGAACATGATTTCTCAGGTGCAAGCACCACTCTTCTGTAATTAAAATCCAGAAATAAAATACATTAGGACACTGAGATATTGACTAAAAAAAAGAGATTTGAACTTCAAACAGCCGTTTCTTTTGCATTGTTCTTTTGTGCAGGTACAAAACACTTTATTAAAGATTTGCTTTGTGAAATCTACCGGCTCCTTACCAGTAGAATTAAAGCAAATATCTTCTGCTAGATCTTACAGACCTTCTGTTTCGTCCTGGTGTCCTCAGCTTCCATCTCCTTTTTTGAAAACGTTTACTGACATACATTTTATACAGGTATGTTGAGTCAATAGCTACAGAACACTTTGTTTTCACAGCAAGGTGATGTTAGCTGAACAGAAAAGTACCGAACACACTGATGTGGTATCAACCTTAGGGGAAGGAAGGTGTCCTCCTTAGCGGGAAACGTGACCTGATGTTTCGGGAGGCAGGCAGTGGGAACGTTCCCGCACTGTGTGTATTTTCCAGTGCCGTCCGGCTGAAATCACACCACGAATTCCCATCTGTGAGCAAATTGCCAATCACAGGCAAAAGCCTAGGAGTTAGGAGCTTCGATTGTCACCCTGCATTAGGCAGTACCACTCCCTTTACGGTGTTTGGGGCGGGAAGGGCGAGGCTCAGGAGAAGGAGCGCCCGCCACCGACCCGCCAGGCACGTCCCGCCGCCAGGCTGTGTCCCACGGGGGGAATCCAAACTCCCGGCGGCTGCGGCCCCCTCGCCCCCTCCCCACCTGCCCCGGCCCCGCCCCAGAGGGGCTGAGCGCCCCTCTCTCCGCCCGCCCGACACCGCCGCCCGATACCCCCGCCGGGCCGGGGCCGCGATGCCCCCGCGATGCCCCCGCGCTCACCGACGGCTCCCTCCTGCCCCGCACTGCCCGCCCGCGGTGACACAGGGATGGCACTGCCCGGCCCGGCCCGGCCCGGCCCGCCCCGAAGGCTGGGCTCCGTGCGGGGGCGGAGGCGGCCCGGGGAGGTGCGGGGTGCGGAGCCGGGGTTGGGGCAGGCGGCGCTTCCCGGTTGGGCGGGTGCGGGATGCCGGATGCCGGTGGGGCTGCCTGGCTCTGCAGCAGAGGGTACCAAGCCTTGCCGAGGGCACCTGTCGGGTTGCAGCCTCCGCTACCGCGTCGACACATCCCGCTGTTGCTGCTGCAGCCACATCGGCGGCCCCCCCGCGCCAGGCCGGCCCGGCCATCGGGAAGGCACCGCAGGCTCCATCCCGCTTGGAGAACCACCTGGCCAAGGGCTTGGATAGCAAGCGCTCATTCCTCCCCCTGCTGCTACTTCGTTGCAGTTACAAAGTTAAAAACTTCTTACTTTACGTCGTAAATTACTGTTCACCAGCTTGCCGGGATGGGAGCAAAAAGGGAGACGCTGATCATAAAACTTGTCTCCCTAAAAAAAGTGAAACCCCACGATTATCATTGTTTCTTGTGGGTCCTCAGTTTTCCATAAATGCTTTATCCAACTTTAAAACCACAGTTCCGCACCACTGTAGCATCGCTGTTTTTTCCTCAAGTTTGAATAGAAAGCCACACTCCTACTTAGGTCCTTAAGAATGTGCTTTTCCTGTGGTGTTATCTGCTTGTCTTGATCACCTTGACATCTTCCACTCTGTTGACGTAAAAAGGGAATCAAGAGAGCACTATTTTATTTGCTGTACTTTGCATTTTGAATAAGTGATACTGAAAGTCTCGTTTATCAGCAAGTCATAGAGGGAAATTATTTGAAAAAAGTCACAGTGTGCTCTGATCCACATAATTCAGAGTAGACTTCATGGGGATTCACAGGGTATTTTTCAGTTAAGCTGAAATAAAATCATAGTTCACATAATTTGATGCTATTTACACCAAGAAATATGGTGGAAAATTTTAGGCTGTCAGTGTGAATAGTTGTATGGAAGGGATGTACTTTCATACACAATTAACTGTTGAATATTCTATTTAGGTGCCAGCAAAAGGGGAATCTGGAATACACACACTGAGGCTGAAGGCAGATCTAAAAGCCTCAGTGAGCTGTGGTTCCAAACAAGGCACCAAGCAATGCAAAACAAGTGGGTAAGGTAACTCCAAATGTCTCACTGTAATCGGTAATTACATGGCAAAATCAGCAGACTATGGTGAGGGGAAGCTGAAGTGATTCAGCAATGAATTCCTGGTTATGAAACAAACCAGAGGTGATGCTTGTTTATTATGATGACATTTCAAGGTGAACAGCATTGGTGAGGAACAGTGTTGCAACCAGAACTTTGCAAGCTGTAAGTTAACAGGAGGAGCCTGTTTCCAAAGCCCATGGTTATGCAAGTATGAAAACACATAACTTCCCTGCTCTTACACTGAACTGACCTAAGAAGCAGCTAGCTATCATTCTATACGTAGTGAAAATGACAATGATGATTAATAATTTGTATACCTAAATTAGAGGCTTTGGTGTGGTAGTGGAGTGCTACAGCTTATTGCTAGCTTTAGGTAAGGAGTGGATTTGGTAAGTGACAAGGGACTTGGGGAACACACAAGATGATTTTGGGTAAGTTGCATTCTGCTCACCAATAGCTAGATTTGATGGCTACTTTAGAGACTTGTTTAGCATTTGGAGATTAAATGTCTGTGTGGCTTTTTGCCTTAGTTTTGTCCCAGTGTTTCATAACACTGAATTTTGTTGTCAAACAGAAACTTATTTTCCTGGCTGATGTATGCACCACAACTTGTCTCTAGCCCCAGACCTATCCTTCTTCACAATTAACTTCAAATTTGTACCAGAAGCTCCATTTCCAAATGATATTAAAAACACAGGAATGAAATTTTCCACAATGTTTTACTGCACTGGAAAAGAAAAAAAAAGAAAAAAACAAACCTACAGCCTGAGAAGCCATGAAAACAGCCTCATGAGTGGTATTTTTATTATTAACCTTCCAGTAACAAACCTTCATGTCTGGCATTTGTTTTAATCATAACAAAGCTATTAAACATATGACACAGAGCAAATGCACAAATAAATAAATATAGGTACACCACTAACAAGATCAAGAACACAAATAACCACACAACCAGGAATGCCTAAAGATGACGATAAACCAGCATCTTTATGTACCGTGGAACATTTTGCATGCTCCATGTTATGAGAATTTAAGAGAAATCATAGGAGGCTGTCATGGTTTAACCCCAGACAGCAACCAAGCCCCATGAAGCTGCCCTATCACTCCCCCACCAGTGGGATCAGGGAGAGAATTGGGAGTGTAAAAACTAGAAAACTCACGGATTGAGATAAAGACAGTTTAATAGGTAAAGCAAAAGCTGTGCACACAAGCAAAGCAAAACAAGGAATTAATTCACAGCTTCCCATGGGCAGGCAGGTGTTCAGCCATCTCTGGGAGAGCAGGGCCCCATCACACATAATGGTTACTTAGGAAGACAAACAGCATCACTCCAAACATACCCCCTTCCTCCCCACACTTTATATAACGAGCATGATGTCATATGGTCTGGAATATCCCTTTGGTCAGTTGGGGTCACCTGTCCTGGCTGTGTCTTCTCCCAGTTTCCCATGCACCCCCAGCCTCCTCACCAGTCTGGCAGTACGAAAAGCAGAAAAGGCCTTCGCTCTGTGTAAGCCCTGCTCAGCAATAACAAAAACAATAAAAACATTGCTATGATATCATCACTGTGTTCAGCACAAATCCAAAACAGAACTCCATACTAGCTGCTGTATTAACTCTACCCCAGGCAAAACCAGCACAGAGGCATATAAAATTAAGCCTTTCAAGTCTATCAAGCAAGTCTATTACAATAAATCACTATCCTTTTTTTTTCTATGCATAAGAATCGGTTAAACACATATGCTTTCATATCAGCCATGTAGTGAGCCATTTGGCTGAGGTTTTCTCATGGTGTAAATCCTCTGGCACACTTGCAATTGTCAAGGTGACAGAGTATTTCAGTAAGTATACGCTTGTTGTGATACATGGAATTATCAAAACTGCTTTAGGCCTTGCATAGTAAATGTAAGTATAACTTATTTTATTGGCATTTTCATTGGTATTAAAGATTAGAGAATTACCTCTTATTCTCAAGCCATCTGGACCTTTTGAATATTTCTGGTGGATTACACATTGACCAATATCTTTTTGTTGCTGGGAATGTGAAGATGCTTACTTGCAAGGTGCTGACGTGAATGATATTGAAAAGCATCTTCACTGCTGGGTTGCAACAAGTGCTTTAATTACTAGTAATTAATATTATTAATTACTAGTAATTATTATAACTCGTATACTATATATATATATACCCCATATATACCCCATACTATATTTTTATAAATAGTTAATAAGTAATTATCAATATATTTTTAAGACATTTGTGTACTACTAGCATGTAAAACTACCATCAAAAAGAAAAATATGGATATAGTAGAATGAGATTACTTTCTGAAATGCTTGATGAATAATTATTTTATTGGGCAACTGAATGGCTTGTGTTTGTATTTTAAAACTTTATATAAGCCATTCACATGCTGCAAACAGATGTGACAAAAATGCTTTGATAAATACAGACAAATTAAGTGATATTTTAACATTTTCTGACAAAACTAATTTCTGCAGACTAACAGTTCTTTAGATCTCTGTTGAATTTGTGGAAGAATTTTATTTGTCATTCAAAATGGTTTGATATAGTATCAGCTCTGACAATTAATGTTGTTATGCAGATCATGTGGCAATTTGCATTTATATGTTTGGAGAAAAAAACCATAAAAAATCCCACAGATATGCCCAATTCCTCAAAAAGTGAACTATTTAGCACTGATAAGGACTGGTGAAGAGAAGCAGCTCTCTGCAGGTCACTAGATCTGTTGAAGTTAGTGAATTGATATCATTAAAATAAAATGTCCAGGTTTATAAGGACCCAAACAAGAAGTATATAGTGCCTGTCTGTGATAGTGAATTTAGTCTTGTGATTTACTTTTAAGATTAATCCAATATAGTACACAAGATTAAAGGTAGGAATCCCTTATTACGCAGAGTATGCAACAGCCTTAACTCTCCAAACTGAATAATTTTAACTGTCAGAAGGTCAGGAAAAGCCCCAGTTGTTTCCTAAATGTGTCAAAACCTACTTCTGATCTGCAGAAGTCAAAGGCATGAGCCTGAAATCTCACCAGATAGCTATGATTTATGTTAAATGAAATTGAAGTAGTAGTTTTATTAATTCACCAGCAGGAAGTAAAATCCTCAGTGCAAACTTTATGCATCCCTTGGATCTGTGCATATTTATTCTAAAAACTTTGGCCAAAACTCAGAACTACAACAGAGCACCCAAAAGGCAATGCACTCTGCAGTGAACCTGTTATCCCACCTCAAGATGAAGTTCACCAGTGATACATGGGAAGTGCTTGTACACATTATAAATGAAGGAGAAAAGGAGTTTCATCTCACAAAACTTGTATCTTGTATTCTGAAACAAAGCACGAGTTCCTTGCATTCCAAGGAATAGCAGGGAGCAGAGAGGACCTGTTTTCCTGTTCTGGTTTTTTTTTCCTTCTAATTGGTTCAATATACTTCATCACAAAGTCAGCCAAACTAATTTAATCTCCATTGAACTGAAAATTAGGAGTTCCTGTATCAGGT